GCAGGAATGATGTAAGTCATAAGAAAGAACGGAGCCTTCCAAAGATTAGAAAATATTGGTGTTATGATCAGCTAATCTGGTTTTCTAGCACAATACCAAGAGCCCAAAACTAACAAGGGCACAATTTACCTCCTACTCCCCCTTCAACATGAGACAAACTGGGCCTTAGGACATATAATTTTGGCACTGCCCGGCCTAGCTCGTGTGGTTTTCCAATACAATTTCTAGCCAGAAGAGCGATTTGAGGACAAAAATTACGCATCTGAAACCCACACCCATGTCCAACTGAAATGGCTGCAAAAGCAATGCTTTGTTTGCCACTCCACGCCGCTGGTCCTCAGCTCGGTTTACACAGGAGGTATCAGGGAGGGGGAGGAGAGAAATTAATCTCTCGAGCAGAATTATTATATTCAAATCCTAACAGATGCCTTTAGGACAAAAAGAGCTGAGATGCAGGCAAGGTGAAAGAGGCTGGGGCCAACCTGTGCACAGATGCAAGCACCAGATTACTATTTACAACAGTAAACAAGTGCTCATTGAAGAATCATCACCAGTTATTCGCAACAGTGAACAAGAAAACAAACCCGTCCGTTCCTTCAACGTTCGCAGCTACGGACTGCATTTTAGATTAATACAGCTAGTGGAGGGATTAAATTGCCTAAAACTGTTGGTCTTTTTCTTCCACGCCAGCGAGAGCAGACCCTCAGCCGACCCCTTCCTCCCTTGGTCATCTCTGCATCTCAATCCGCGTGCCACACTGCTTTTACACACAAACATCCCCGGCTGTCCCCAGTTACACGATATTCTTTGGCAACTTAATGTAATATTGAGTAGACTCTATCTTCACCACCGTATGTTTGGGTACAGAAACCTCACATACAAATAACACACATTTGGTAATACAGTACCCTCACCCAAAGAAAACAACTGCAACCCCATTAGTCTATATGCTCAGACAGCTGACTAGGGAGGTTTTCCTGCCTCCGGCTCTAACGTCTGGACAAAAAGCTATTAATAAATATGAAAGCTTTAATGAATCTAAAGGAAAATAAACCCAGGCAGATTAAGGCCCAGTGTCCGGCGAAGACCAGGGCAATTTAGAAAGCCGCCCAACCTGACACTAATCAGCCAGGCTGGGCTCCCAAAGACGCGTTCTCTCCGTCTAGACTTCTAATCCTCCAATGGGAAAAAGACATCTAGTATTATTCTGCCCCTTTCAGCGACACTGTAAGAACACATCCAACTGCCTCAGTGACTTGCATCCGCGACACAAAAATGGACACCACTTTGCTGAACGTGTTCAAGTGGGGCAGACAGGAAAAAAAAATACAGTTAGACAGTGATGCACTTTCATTATTATAACTGAACAGCAGTTAAATACCTGTACATGGTGTTGTAATGCAAATAAATACTTCCTGATCTGTTTTTAAGCACAGCTAAGTAACTCTCATATCTTCCCCTCCTCAGTCCAAACAAATGGTCACTTTATATGCAAAAAAAAAACTATTAAAAAAAACCCCAACACACTGGAGTCCTAGCAAGCACATTTTTAAGTCTTCAAGTACCCACACTGATGGTGCCTGCAATTTTAACCACCAGGACTTAACCTATTGTTTCATTTTAAGGGATTCCACATGTTCACAATTACTTGAGCCACTTCTGTCAAACTACATTTCAATTTAATAAACAGAATAAATTAAGTATGAGTTGAGATAATGAATAACTCATTGTCCCGCTCGAGGCCTACATCACACACTATATTTATATTTGTCTCTACAGTGGAAGGACAAGCACAGACTTGTTTGTGATCCTCAAGTCCAGTATTTCAGTAGCTGCTATATTTTGCTATACTACTATTTTCATTGACAATACAATTTGAAGACTGAAAACCTTTTTTGTTTGTTTTTAGAAAAAATAATAAAAAAAACCCCAAACAACAAACAGAACCAACTAGAATCATCCATCCACTATGCACAAACATGTGTAGGGGAAAAGAGGCGGGGGGAAAACAATACAGAAGAGTACTGAGCTAGATGTGCTAAATCCTTCAGGAAGCAAAGGAGGGATTGAAGGCGCCAACCTGCCAGCACACACAGCTGGCACGGCAGGGGAAAAAGGGAGGAAGAGGAGGGACAGCAGAAAAGAGGAAGCTCTCTTCTGCACGTTACACCTAGTTAACAGCAGAGCACGGCCATTTCCACAAGCTGCCTTCCACCACCACCTCTCCCACTGTTTATCCATCACCAGCACCCGCTGAACAGCACAGCAGCTCCGAGACCGCAACTCCAGAAGGAGACTTTCCACTGTTTCCTCCGAGCACGGCGCGCGCAACTACCCTGGCAATGCTCCTCATCCTTGCTGCTCGAAACCAACCGCCCCATCTCCATGAAGATGAACATTAACATTAAACTCCAGCCTCAAACGACGACTGCTTGATCACCGTACAGAAACACACAATTTCTAATAGTCCTAGACACAAGATTTGAAGATATCAAAGAAAAGGTTTTCTTGTAAAAAATGACCTCATCCGCAGATGCTGCATTTCAACAGTATAGCCCGCAGGGAATGGATGCTGCCTGGAAGCAGCAGGGAAGCCCCAGCCCAGAGTGGGAAACAGGTAGCCAAGAGGACTACTTGCGCAGAGGTGAGGAACATCAGCGAAAGTACCAGGAGAAAGAGCTGTGAGGTGCTGGCAAAATCTCTGCTGGTCACGGGCTCCTAGCACTCAGCGAGCCACCTACATTGGGCAAAACCCCCCATTCCTTGGTACCAAACCTGGGCTCAGGCTATTCATCGAGTTCACCTAAATCAAATAAGCAGCCTTCATTTAAAAGGCTAACATATGCGCTCTTCTTCCTTGAGAAGAAAAGCCATAATAAAAGCAGAGGTTTTACTTAGTAGCCATTTTGTCTTCAACTTGGACATGATACCTAATCTGAATGCAATGTAAACATGCTCTCCGAGGCTCATTTCCAAACAGCACGTTCAGGGGAAGAGAAGAAAATATTAAAAGGCCATCACTAAATACTATAATAAATTAGGAGGGTGTGAAGATTTTGTGATCTAAACAGACAGGAAATTCTGCAGTTCGTATTCCTTCTCTAGGTCACATTGCAGAGAAAACAAAAACAAAAGGTGGCAAGTGTGGATTAAGGACAATGAATTATTATTTACTGTTTAAATTAAGAAAATCCCAACCAACAAGCAAACAAATGCAATTTCAGTACGCCACACAATAAAAGAATCTGAAGGTAAAATTATATTTACATTATCTTTCTTTTCCAGCTACATCAATTCAAACCATAGAATCTAACTATAGTATGAGGTAATACGCAAGCTGATCGGTACGTTTTTATTAGGATGAGGACATGTATATAAATATATACGGTGTGTATATATAAAGGAAAACATTATATACCAGTAGCCTCTATTTACAACTCCCAACTTTCACAATACTTTATCAGCCCCCTCAGCCAAAAGCAGCTTTTACAAACATACACAAAATATAAATGCTGCAGGTGATGACAGCTTCTTACAGATTAAAACAACAAAAAACAACAAAACCAACCAGAATATTTTATTTGCAGGGCAAGCTAAGCTCATATTTATCTCTTTTCCCCAAAACGCACACCAAATAAATATTCTTAAGTAAACCGCTGGTTTACTGTGAATTTTGTTTTAATTTTTAGGGGGGGGAACCAAAACGCAAACCACAACTGGATTCCTGTGCAGGAACTTGCGGACCACCGTGACAAGTTTCAGCCAAAGCGGCGTTTCGGGGGCGGGGAGGCGCGGGGGGCGGCCGGGCAGAGGCGCCCCGACTGCAGCGCTGCGCATTCCCCGCTGCACCAGCGCC